TGGAAGGAATTTAAACAAACAAACTTTACATTATGAACAACACCAACATGCAAAAAGCAAATTCAACTTCCAATTATATAAAAAAAAACTATTTCCAAAAGGACATAATAAAACTCATTCAATATCAAACTTACTTTAGCACAGACCATAAGCTCCCCTGCAGACTTAGAATTAACCCAATGGCGCCGGGTGTACAAAAAAAAAAAAAAAACTCTACGCTTAAACAAACAAAGGCGGCGTGAGTAGGGGACATCAGCCCGAATCACTGGCTTGCCGCGCTTTGGCACGCCGCCGGCTCGTTCGGCTGCACGCCAGCTTTCGAGCTCTTTGTGTACACGCCGATCGGCGTCACCCGGCACCAAGGGGTTAATGGAATACAAACACAAAATACAAAATAGGCAAAGTGGATACCAAAAAGCAGACCTACCAATAGTGAAAGTAAGGTTCCTTGGTGTCTTCACTAAGTCATCTAAGTCCGCAAATCCTAGGCCCTCTTTGAAGCCCATGCCGCAGCAGTGGTGGGGTTTCTTCTCTTTCTTCTGTGGCGTGCCTTTGCTATAAGCATCACGGAGGGTTTTGGACACCAGGGGATAGGAAGTTAATAACTGCAGAAACGGAAGGGAAAGATTAGGGCCAAAACAAAGACTGGGAGAAATCATTCATGCTCAAATGCTCATCTGTGAGAGGGATTCTGCCTTTTTGATTGTCTGTCTCTGTTCTTGTTTTGCTCTTCCTTACTTTATAGACTCATATTCTTTCTCTTTTCTTTTCTCTCTGTATCTTTCGTTCTCTCTATCTTTCCCATCTCTTCCTCCACCCTGTTATCTATTCTTAACTCCCTCCTTCCTTATCTATGCATCTCTTCATATATGTTTCCTGGTTCACCCTTCCTCCCTATAATCTTCCCTTCACCCTTCTCACCTTCTCATCCTTCCTCTCTCTCTCCTTTCCACTAGTTTTCTCTCCCTTCTAACTTTCCTTACTCCTCCCTTTCTCTTCATCTTACTCTTTCCTTCTCCCATTCTCTCCTTCCTTCTTTTGCTTCCCCTCTCTCTTCCTTCCTCCATGATCACACAAAATCACTCACCGACTTATCTACAGTAAAAGCAGCAACTTCCCCGGGCAACATGGTGCGAATGCAAGCTTCCCAGACTTCAAGCTTAAACTTCTTGCCAAGAATAAGTTCCACAGGATTTTTCCAGTCATGGCTGTTATCAATGACTACTGGGGTCTCTTCACATGTTTCGGTTTTCAGGTGAAAGGTGACCTGGCAAGGAAAGAAACATGACACATTTAAGGATAAATCTTATCAATACGAATGATAATGAATTTTCCTGAAGATTAATGGCCAGTTTGTTTAAAATATGCGAGGCCCAACACAATTCATATTCATATACACAGACATGCATAAACACAGAAATAAATGCATATCTGTCTGTCTATGTGATAGATATACATTTATCTATCTATCTGTGCGGTAGATATGCACGTCTAGACTGATAGATATGTATTTATTTCTGTGTATATGTGGCTGTTAGAAAGCATTTTCATTATCTAAAATGGTCACAAAATTAACTCCCTAAGAACTATTCTTTGAGTGTACAATGTTTGAGGATTCATTACCTTTACACCAAATACAAAAAGAACAAAGAAGAAGGCATATAGACTAGAAATGACTGGAAATAATTACGGTTCACCAAAATGACCTTACAATATTGATAAAAATCACATTTTATACTCAGATGTAAAGGAAAACAACATCATAACTGGCTTGTCCTATCAAATATAACATAAATATGAGCATTAGAATCAAAGAATCAAGTTTTTAAAAGGCAGTACCTCATAAAACACCAAAGAAAATTCTTATCACAATAGACGTATTCTACAGGTTATCAGAAGTCGATATTTAACAGGCTATCTCCATCAATAAACACTGACGAAATAAAGCTCTCACCTTCGTCCCATCCAGAAAGCCAGCATCCCCTTTCCCTGGGTGCACCACCGTCTTTTGAATGAGCTTATCGTCCATCCCAACCCACAAAATCTCACAAAATAGCAGAAGAATTCCTAAGTGCTAGCAGAAGACGCAGGACATTCGGCCGAGATAGGAGCCCAGACGTAAACATTGCCTGTTCGGGCGGGTGGTCTTGGCTTCGTTTGTATGCTTTTACAATTTATTAGTCAATTTCCGTGAAAAAAGATAATTCTATACTAAGTGATATTTTAGTAATTTGATTTTTAGGATTTCGATTAGGCTTTGATTATGTGATAGAGTTTTGTATGTCTATATATAATTATGATAGGGACTGAGTTTCATCCGGACAAGTTATGTCTTAAATAAGTTTACCTGTCCAGAATATTCTCACTAATTACGGTACATAATGCAACAGTACCATTAAAAAGCATGGGACAGATTTATTTTTGAGCTCTTATGTAAAAAAGGAAACTGTTGCAATTTAATTCACGTACGAAAGGCAACAAAATATAAGTATTGTTGAAT